GCTTCTTCCATTAGAGAAACTTGACATTAAATATGTCTTGGTCTAAAGAACCTACTACTGCTTCTTCCATTAGAGAGTAGTAGTGGTCTAAAGAAAAGACATATTTAATGTCAAGTTTCTCTAATGGAAGAACAGTAGTAGTGGTCTAAAGAAAAGACATATTTAATGTCAAGTTTGCTTCTTCCATTAGAAGTTCTACAACACTTCATCTTAAAGCAGAGAAATGTAGATCCTTCCCATAAAACCTGTAAATCACTCCTCTCAAAATTACTACTTCTCTCTAAAGAACTTTAATTTTGCAAATATCTCTTAGAAAATTGTTAAAATATTCTCATCACCAATCCAAAAACCACCAGGCCTAACAAGTTCAGTAAAAACGTTCTGGTTTTTGGTATTCTTCACTGCTTTAGATACTTACTTGCCAAAAACATGTTGATGTTCACCAAAGAGAAATGTATTTAGTCCTTTAAAGCTTTCAATTATAATGTAACAATAAATAATTCTTTATTTGCTCATAATATTTACCACAATGATCATTTATGCTGTGAAAACTCAAAAAGCTATGGTTTAAACAAAAGAAGGTGATGTAGCTGAAGCGTTCTGGTATTGAATGAAAGGCCTTTTAAGCAGTGACTTGAGGGAGAGAAAAGATAGGTCTGAAATACATTTTGACACAACCCTGAAAGGTAATCCGAAATGGAAAAATTAAAAGGATGGTGAGGAAAAGAAACATCTACAGAGTACTCAATTTTTATGATAGGGGGTGGAAACCAAAATCAAACCAGTAGGTTACATATCAATGGAAAGAATATTATAATAAGAAAGGCACATTGAAAACAAAACTAAAAATTTTAAGTTGTTGTTATTTGTAAAGCACTATCCTTACCTTATTAGATTAACACCTATACGATGAATATTAGCCCTAAGAATAATGAAAGTGGAGAGCTTCTTTCTAGGCTCTTTTCATTAATGAGAAACCATTTCTATACATGCTGATACAATTATAAATTATATAGAGAAAAGTTAATTAAGGTGCTAGTTAAAGTAATATGTGCAATTATATTATTTTTGAAAAACTACTTAAACGTATTACATTAAGTCACAAATGAATTGATATTTCAGTTATTTACAACAGAAAAAATAGTCATGAGGTATTTGTTTTTTGTTTCTGAGTAGGAGAAGCTCTAATTAAAATATCAACTGATATAGTTAGCATTAATAAAACATTCTCATCGGCGCCTACCTCCTTCGGCATTTTTGTCCTTTTTTCTTTTCTTTTTCTTCTTATTTAGTGCATAGTTGTCTCGAGCAGACCACCCGGGGTACATCTGCATGTGTATTTGACGCTCCTTCCGTGCCAGTTCGTAGTACTTAGCTTGTTCATCTCGTGACAAGCTGTGCCACTAAACATATTGAAATAAAATGCTTCAATAAAAGCAAACATTTAACAACAATACTTTAATAAACGTCTTGTATAAAGTATAAAAAAGGCTTCGGAGGAACATAAACATACTTTAAACTTAACAATATCTGGGGAGCCAAATAAAAAGCTATCACTCAGTTATAATATGATACGACAACTAATTCATAATTGGTTTTAATTACATTAATTGCATAAGTTATTAATATTTCATGAAAACATAGTTTCATCAGGATTTAAGTAGCACAAGTGTTTAAGTGAACTGTAACAAGGTACAACCAATGTGTCATGATTACAAACAACAAGTTGGACTTTGTTTCAGGATTGAGGAGCACACGGTGTGCTACTCAATCCTGAAGAAAGTCCAACGTGTTGTCTGTAGTCATGACACACTGGTTGTACCTTGTTGCAGTTCACTTAAACACGTGTGCTACTTAAATCCTGAAACAAAGTCCAACTTGTTGTCTGTAATCATGACACATTGGTTGTACCTTGTTACAGTTCACTTAAACACGTGTGCTCCTCAATCCTGAAAAAAGTCCAACTTGTTGTCTGTAGTCATGATACAGTGGTTGTACCTTGTTACAGTTCACTTAAACAATGTTTAAGTGAACTGTAACAAGGTACAACCAATGTGTCATGATTACAGACAACAAGTTGGACTTTGTTTCAGGATTTGAGTAGCACACATGTTTAAGTGAACTGTAACAAGATACAACCAGTGTGTCATGATTACAGACAACAAGTTGGACTTTTTTTCAGGATTTGAGTAGCACACGTGTTTAAGTGAACTGTAACAAGATACAACCACTGTATCGTGACTCCAGACAACAAGTTGGATGTCTCGTCAAATGAATAAGTGAACATACAAAGTTTTTGGAAGAAATAATTTAAAATACTGGGTAATTAGGAATGTTTTTATGATGACTTTGTTAATGAGAATGTATGAAAGCATCTTAGTTATAATTACTGAAAAATCCTTACCCTCCTTCCTAGTATTTGGTTAATGGCTGCACTTTCTTTCAACGTACATTCTGCGACAACCTTGGCACGCATCTCTTTCATGTAGAGCATAAATGCATTAAGAGGTTTCTTGATGTGATTTAACTTCTTTTTCTCAGATTCCCGTTGCTGAGATGTACTGCTATGGTTGGTGGGACCATTGGACTCGCTACACTTCACTAAAATAGTTTTTTGGTCTGGCAGGTAGTTTGGAAGATGTCTGAGATGAGAGTTAAAATGTATAGTTTCTTATTTTCCAGGTACCGGTAATATCTTTGAAATTCAGTTTTCTATTTTATGTAACATCTTAATTTATAATTTGGTAAAGGAATGTAATAAGTTTTTCCCCTACATCTTGTTAGAAACTTAAATAAACTGAGATATTTTTAATTTTACATAATACAATACAAATTTTCTTGTTCTAAACGTTCCCAATTCTACTTTTCACATTTATCTTCAAGCATGTGTGTTTCAATTTTGTTAATAAACTTACTGAATTGGTGTAAGGAGTCTTTACTTATAACTTAAAGCTAAATGTATAATATCTATATAAATATGAAAATCTCATCAAAACAGACTATATTATAGAAAAAATTACTTCTTTGTGTGTCTTATCACAACTGATAATAATTGGATGAACAAGATCTAATGTTGTAAAGTTACAGTTTTAACAGACACCAGGGTGAAGCTTGTTTACACAGACAAAAATTTCCATGATAATACTGTTTAAGTGAAACACTGAGAATAAAATATATATTTCTTTAAATTAAATCAAGTAATATTTATTTCACTTATACAATAAATGTTGAAAATCAAGGAATTATTAATAAAAGTTCTAAAAACAGTTTCCACATAAACATTAAAAGAAGTTATGGAATGGTCAGTAATAAATGTCTTGCACAATTAACTTTCTAATCATTCCCTCCTCAGTACTAAGAACAAGTCTTATAATACCGTCTTGCTGAATAAAACAATCCCCAAGAATATAATGAATATTTTTAGCTTCCACTCAATGTCCCCGAAAAATTAATTTATTTCATAGAAATGTTCATTTGTTTTCACGACAGTACAACTATTCAGAGTCAATAGTTTGATTAGGAAAAATGCCAGTAAGCATCTTCTATTTTCACATTTTTGTAAGAAATTTGAAACATGCTCCACATTTATGGCAGATTCTTCCATATCACTAAACTCATCAACTTTTGGTTCAATTGTGACAAATACACTAACCATTTATATTTCACTAACACGGGTCTCTACAGAAAACCTTAACACTCTATTTGCATCCATTGTGAAAACATGATGGAATAAACGTTTTTGTGTCATCAACTTTTGGTTCAATTCTGACAAATACACTAACCATTTATATTTTACTAACACGGGTCTCTACAGAAAACCTTAACACTCTATTTGCATCCATTGTGAAAACATGAT